TTGGTGTGACAAAACACTATCATATTCAACGAGGAATAGTTTTGTTTTATCCTGCAATAAGTCTACTAGTCAGTGGCTTTGTTCCCATCCCATACTCCATAATTACCATGAAACGTATGCTTTCTATAAATATCTTGTCTGTCTACAAGCTCTGTTTGAATACACCACAAAACCCATGTGGTGCTTTTCTGTCTTTTCCAAAGGTAATTCATCATGTCCATGATTCAAAGGCTGACTGAAGGCAGGGTATTGTTACTCTACTGTCCCGACACAAATGGTTACATATCACACATGTACCTGACACGCAGGGCGTTGTGAAACTAAGTCATTATGTCACTCTGGAAGTATCCATGGTTGTTTGCAGAGTCAACAAACACAATCATAACAGTTTGACCCTCATCCAACACGCAGACAGCCATAAACAAAACTTTCCGGGATGTGACACACCGACACACTGGAGATTCGCTGTAAACATCAGGGAAAAAAAGAGCGTCTCTTTTAAGGTAACGTCAGAGAGTGCACATTTTCAGACAGAAACTGGTCACTAGAAACAAGTGCAATAGAGATGTAGTGATCAGTAAACACTATTCAAAACAGCTCTCCTTTCCTTCACCTTTGAAAAGTTTGAGAATCTATGTTCAGATTACATTTATTTACGCTAGTGGTTTGGGTGGCATTTTGTCCAGCACAGGACAAGGAAAACATCTGAAAAATGATTGGATTGAGTCCCATTAAAGTCTCTACATATACTTTGTTATGGTGATTTGAATACACAGTCTGATGACACTGTGTAGCACAACAACATTTTATTAAATATTATCATATTGCTTTTATCCCAGGGAGACAAGAAAAGCTTGTTCTTTAGTTTCCAGAGACCGGCCATCTGCTGCAGCCCTTAACCACTCATCTGTCTTGAATTAGACAGCAGTCACCACAATATAAATACCCACTTATCATCTCGGTAGTTTGTCCTACCCTGATACAGGCCTGAGATGACAGAGACAATAGCGGACGCCCATTGCACCAAGTCCCCCTGGAGGCACATCTCGACTCACGGGCTGCATTTAACTTTTATTACCCAAGGAGATGGATTGGCTGCTCCCCACCCTTATTTGGTGGTGCGGTGTACGTATACGAGGGTCTGTGGTTGTAAAGCGAAGGCAGCGCGGCTCAGCCTGAGCGGAGCCAGGTAACTGAAGAGCCCTGCCACCAATTTGAAAAAGCTCACAGATAATGTGACTCATGGTTGAGTTTTTTCTTTGTGTTTGTTTTTTGTAGATTGATTAATTTTGACAAGATACATTCACTTGTTGCCCTGCAGGTTTGGTTCTCTGGAACAGCAAAGTGGACCCACATCTAATGTTGGCAAGCATTGTTTTATTTACCACTAGCTGCAAAAACATTTTCCTAAGTAAAATTCTTTAACACTTTGCTTCCCACTCTTTTCATTTCAATTATGTGTTATTGATAATCCCTGTTTTCGACATGACAACTACCTTTTTGGTGTAAATGCATTCACACCAAACGCATAAACTCCACTTAAAGGTGGGGTATGTAATTTTGGAGAAACCAGCTCGAGTGCGCTAGAATTTGAAAGTACACAACCGGAAAAAATCTGCCTCTTCCTTCAGACTTCCTTACAGAGCCCCTCCTCCAACACTCACGAACGCGCACATGACCAATGAGGGCACGAGATAAGTTTGTGCACAGATGGAAGGTTGACAGGCAGGTAGGCCATCCAGTTATTTTAGCCGGGCCGGCTCAGATGATTGGTCGTGCTTTTTACAGCGCTACGGCTTCCACAGATGAATTTTTTTATGTATTTATTGTCAAAGAATTTAATATATTCATTGCTATTGGGATGTTAAGAGCATTCCATGGAATATAACAAAAAGTGTTTCTGAAATAAATTACATACCCCACCTTTAAGTCAAAAGCTTAGGTAGCAGTTGAGGCGCTGCTAAGCTATGCTAGTTTTAGCTGAACTAGCTAACTGTTAGCTTGCTGTTTTTTCTCTACCATTGCATATCTTTGCTGTTGCCTTAATTATGTGTTACAGTTGTGGGATGTCCAACTGAATTATCAATATATGTTAGATCTTCGAAATATAATTTTTTGAAACACAGAGAAGTTAATGTGGCTATCTCACCAACTAGCTTAAACTTGATTTTGCCCTCTTGTTTTAAGGACGTTTTTTCTGTGACTAAGTGCAGCAAGTGTGACTGCAGAAGTGGCAATTTCCGAGCCACAGAGCAGTTATTCTAAGGTTTGGTTAGTATTCATAAGCGGTCAGGACAGGGAGCTGACAAAACTAGGAAGAAGCTGGAGCCTGCAGCTCAGCTTAAATACAAACTAAGGGGATGAAGTGCAGGTGGACAGGATGGCTGCAGAGCTAATGGTTACCAGGTGAAATGAATAAGGCCAGGGCAGACAATCAAAGTCAGGTGGGAAAACACAAAGGCAGGAAGTAAAAAGCAGACATGCCTTAAAATGAGTACACTTACAAAATAAAACAGAAAACATATCAACAAAAGCCAGCATCATGACACTAAGTATTTTCTTTTATGACTGAACTAGTCTTTAATCCCATTATTTTTGATGGTGTAGCCTACTGATTATTGTGCACTTTTAGTGCTTGCAATACTATCCTGATGCAGTTTGGTTTTACACATGAAAATAAATTGTCACCAACAAAAACAGATATGTGTTTATAGCTATGGTTTGAATGCAAGTCAGTTATTAAAGCATGGTCCACAAAGCAGAGACTCATCTAAGAAGGCAGTCATGCTATTCCCAAGAGCCCCTTCTCAGATGCAGCTGCACCAACGTGTTTTGACCTAAACACACCGCCAAAGTGCTACACCTGACATGTGTGCCCTTTCAGAGCGGCAGGACCTCTTCTCTATGGACGGGAAGTTCATTTCCTCAGAGGATGGAGCCACACCTATTCATTTTTATACCATATTATTATTTTACCCCCATAAATATAGCCCATTTCTGTTCTTTGTGCTGTTCTTTGCTGCGCTGAAAGACATGTTTCTAAAGCTCAGTATATCTCAGGGAACATCAATGCATCAACAAGAAAAGCTTTGTACATGTGTGGAGAAGATTGAAGATGGATTATTTCTGAAAGTAAAAATGGATGTTTACACTCGCAGTGCAGGAAGATGCTCCACCCTTGACCTCTTTACAAGAAACCGCAAGACACAGAGAGCTTTGAGAAGGTGATAATTGAAATGTCATCACTCTCTGAAACATCTCATGAGATCGTTCTGTGGATTCATAAACCAGAAGATTATTGTGAGCTCATTCTTGTCCTCGCTCAGTCTCAAATCATAATAGCAGCACAAAACAGATGGGGAAATGTGAAAGAACTGAACAAAGAAATTAAATGATGGTAACACGAGAATATATAGCAACCTGATAAAACTGTAAATCTCACAGTCACTCAGAGACACAAAAGCAACTTCTGTGGGACTGCTGCCTGCCACATAAAGGGAAATATATGAACAGACAATACAAATAAAACATTTCAGTCTTTCCCTGGCGGCATTGCAGCACTCACATTCAGACACTGAAGGGTTAATGTAATTTATGGGACTCAAGGCAGAAAGGCAGAAGTAAACAAAGAGAGCCAAGGACTGGAGCTTCTCTGGCTGCTGAAGTTGAGGCGTGACCCTTGAGATAGGCACCGGGCTATCATGAGGGCGTCTCCCTGTGTGACTAGCCGGGAGAACAGGGAGGCCTTTGTCAGGGCTGTGTGCGAAAAAGTGCTGAGCCAAGCAGGCCCTCACCCCTCACTCCCTCCCACCCATGTGTTTTTTTTTTCTCTTTCTCCCTGGAGACACACACAAATGCTCACACACACACTTGTCTGTATTTACCAGCGGTCCCAGGGGACGAGGCTTTTTACTTCAACTGGTGAGAGGTTAAGGAGGGGAATAAAGAGCCAGTTTTTTGGTTAAAGTCTGGAGAAGTTAGCATTGCATTCTGGGATGCAACTTAGGCTTTAATATAGCCCGCTGCTAAGAGTTTCTAATAGTCTCTGTTTCCAGTCAAGTTGACTTTGAGAGAAATGTCATCCTGCCTTGATAAGAAATGTATTTTCTGGTCTGCTTGCAATTTTCAAAGTGAAAACAACAACAACTGCTCTGTCTTTTTGTAATGGTTCCCGATATCTACTCGTTGATCAAATTGAAGTAAATGAGGACATTCAATTGTTCTAAAGTTCAGTCTGTATGCAATGTGGTTTACTATGAGAAATAAAACACAATACGGTTAATTATTCAAGTAATTTGACAAACCAAATAATGTGTGTTGTTTTTCTGAGTGTGACTCTTTACTTATTTTAACAATGTTTGCTGAAGTAGAAACGACTATGACTGTCTGTGTTAGAAATAATACGGAAAATGCCTCAAAGTTGACAGTTGCCACTGATAATGAAACTTTTTTGTATCAACTGAAATCAGCACGCCCCGCAGCACAACACTTCAATGTGCTAATCTTTATGGGGTTCAGGTCAGGCCTTAAATCATGAATTTTCTTTTTTCTTGAGGCTGTGTTTCTGCACTCCCTACCCCGACACACATACACATCCTCACGCTTCCCCACTGCCCCTGTCTACACAAAGCAGCTGCCTGAGGGAGAGCTGGTGACAGAAGAGTGAATCACTGTTTAGGTAAGGTTGCACCTTTCCCCCAGAGGGAAGAGCGTGTAAAAATGTGCTAAGCTCCCAACATTGCCTTCAGGGCTTATGAAATGCTCCTATTGTTCATGCTAAATTAACTTCTTTGGGACTTTCAGGGGGTTTAAATCACTGGTGTCTAGTCAGAGAACAGGTTTTATTCAGTCACTGTGACTTTATGGGATTGTTATGGTTATGGCAGCAGAAACGTGTTAGGTGACGAACACAGGAATGATTATGTAAATGTATCATGTGTGTTTGTGTGTGTGTTAGAGAACTCATCGTTGTCTTTAGTAAAAGAAACAAAGCACAAGCCTTTTAAATTGTCCATAAAGTTTTAATGAAAAAAAAAAACAGCAATGTACCCATTTAACAACAGAAGAAATTAAGAGAACTTGTAAGATTTCGAGAGCCAAGCTCTTATGTACAGCATATTGCACTAGAAAAAGAACAAACATCCCCCGTCCCTCTGTTCCCTCCATCGCCTCATGTCCTGCGCTGTTTGAAAACTGTGCAGTCGACACAGAGCAGTCCCAAAGATAACACATACAATGCTTTAACAAAAACTGCTACATTTGGACTGGGTCTCACTTCATTAGGACACATGAATGTGAAATCCTTGAGACCACTCTGAACGTAAAGAAAGAAATGTGAAGACAATACAAACTCCCTGCGCACGAAGCACGGCAGTCTGAAAGAAGTTCCACTGTTCAGTTCATGTATTAAAAGAGATATCGTGGTTTTCACTCCATTAAATTACATTCAAACCCTTAAGATACAGATTTTTTCAGGAATGTTGGACATGCATTTTTACTCCATTTACATATATTGAAAAAAGCCCTTGAACTGAGAGTGACACAGCAGACTTGGCAATATCCAAAATGTTAAATGCCACAACATTGAAAAAAAAGCAATCCTAAAAAAAAAAGTTTGTTGTGGTAGATCTTTCTTCGTCTTATTACAAAAAGATATGGAAAACAATTGTTAAAAATGTTTTATAAAGATAGCCACAATAGCTGTTTCAAATTCATGTCAAATGTATAAAAAAAAACACCAAATCACAGCACTTGACAGTAAAGATGCACTTTTTCTTTGATATTAAAAAAATGGAATCGAAGAAATTTGATATTAAAGACACTGAAGGTTGAACGAATAACAAAATGTTTCACTTGAGTCAGGGTTGCAACAGTGGTTGGTAACCGACTGAGTGGCTGTTCAACCCAGCTCACATACAAATAATACTGGGCACCATGGTGACTCATTCCTCCTTCAAATGTAAACCCACAGCCCTACTAGATTGTAGATAATAAAGCACAAGAACCCAGGCGAGCTAGGCAGATCCAGCATATTACAGACCTTAAAGAGTTTCTAGACGGGAAGCTCAGCACAGGAGTAGAAAGAGAGAGGCGCAAAAAATACAGTATACAGGTAAAAAAAAAAATCGTTTTTACAGTGCACATTGATTGCAAACAGTCATTTCTGATATTGAGAAGCGCGGTTAAACTCGCCGTTTGTGCTGAGAGACGTCAAAGGTTGAACCTGTGCCTCGTGAAACAGATCTTTTGTGTATCAAGGCACAACGAACACGACATACTGTTTGTGCCAAGTCGTTTGTATCGTAGCATGTTCTTCTCACAGAGCCCAAGTGAAACAAGGGCTGTGGCAAGTGACTTTGAATAATGATGCCAAGTGTTGATGATGATGTGGCAGGTCTGTTACTCACAAGGCACATTTTGTACATTTGATTGTCTGCTGTTCACGTGATTTATAAAGACTCACACCGTTAAGAGTGAGAACTCACGAGGCACATGGCTTTTAGTCCAACCTCCCCACACACAGGCATCAAACACGCAACTGAATGCGCATCAACAATGAGAAGAAAAGGACTGTACACACTGAGATAGCATCTATACAGTAGAACTGAGCAAATATACACAAAATAAATTAGAATAAATTATCCAAAAAGAAACCAAAACAAAATGAAACCTGTTCTCATTAAGGACAGGGAGTAGTTAAAAATGGCGTGAATTGGCTCAGCGTTCATTGTTTGCAGGAAACAATATTTTGGTTTAGCTACTCGAGTCGTAACCTCTAAATCTGTTGATGTTGAGAGAATGTACTTTGGATAACATAAAAAGTCCAATGAAATATATTTTATTCTAACTCAAAGGCAGATTATTTGCAACTCATAGTAAGCATCAGGTAATTAACATGGTCCGTAACTACTCCCTGAAGAAGAAAACAAAAAACCCATCAGTGTCTTCAAAAGTTCATATCATGACTGAAATAATACATCCAATGACGACATTTTTAAATCTTATTTCTAGTCCTTAAAGACTTAATAAACCTTACTTTAAACAGTGGCTGTGTCGTTGCAAAAAGGGTGTATAAACCTTCTCTTAAAATGTGTCTGTGTGTGCGAGTAAAAATGTTTTTCTGAACTGTACAGGAGCTGTTCTTACTAAGTTCTCGGTGAAGCTGGATATACCACTGGCAGTTTGGTGAAAGAAAGCACTTGAATGAAAGGTCGATACGTAACATGTATCAGCACATCGGGATTGAATCAGTGCTCGAAACACTTCCACCTGGAGCGAAATAAAATAAAAATGTATCTCTGTAACTTTGACCCAAAATCTTTCTGTAACAAAGAAATTTGAAAGAGGTGTAATCTCAGTTTGATTGCAAATGCAACAGATCCCTAAGATTTTCCTTTCCTTCCACTGGCTTGAATATTGCTCGCCAATAGAAATGCTGATAAATGTCATCTCTCCCACAAGTCTCCCACCCAATGCAGCAAAGGGCTAAATTGCGATTGTCACTCCAGCCAGAGAAAGAAAAACTGAAAAGCTTTAGAAAACGATGAAATCTCTCCAAAGCTTTTCAGCTGTGTGATTGTTTTTCCAGTTCCCTGATCGTGATCCCACAAAGGAGATTTGTTTGTGCTTATTTGGTTTCAAAATGACTTCAGATTTTGGAAACAGTAAGCACGCACTCCTACAGACAAATGATCACAAATTCAAAGAGTAATCACGATTATGTTGGGTATTATTCGACTAAAATACCTTCAGTAAACCTACATTCAAGTACATGTGTTTCTCCTTTAAATCAACAGGATCTGAGTGGGTTTTTAGGCCACTTCTAACAGCATGAGTGGAACTAGAGATGGAGAGGCTGATGGATGAGACTTGATGATGTCACTATGTCTAAAGTGGAATCTGGCAAGTGCAGCATCAAGGTGTAGCACCGTCACAATGTCATGAAAACCATTCAGAAATGAGCCAGTGTGAAACAGTAAAGGATAAGTACAGGGCTTATTGTTTTTCTGAGAATAAATTAGAAATTTGCCTCGAGTCCTCAAGGTTTAAAGTCAGTAACTTCAGCACAGACATGTCCACGTCCAGTTTGACGCCAAAAAAAGTGGCCTAATCTTAAAAAGGAGTCTCTTGTTTTTCACTGATTTCCTCGTTGCAAAAGAGTTGTACTGTGGCAGGAGAGAATAAGGCATTCCCTGGACTGATGGAGGTCCTTCAAGACTTGAAACACCAAATAAAAAGAGCAGTTTACTGTACAAAATAGGTAATCTTACAAACATTTCGAAAATATCTCTTCAAACGCAATGGCTTCTTCTCGGAGAGGCGAAAAAAAAAAAGCAAAAAAAAAAAAAAAAAGCAAAAAAAAAATTGTCAGTCTCCGTCCAGCGGTGACAAGTGTTTTCTTCATCTCATCTTCGTGGTCACGAAGAAAACAAAATCCAAACCCGTGTTCCATCTTACAGTGCCATCTCTTTAAAAGTCTGGTCCCTTGTCCCTATAAGGAGGGGGGGGGGCTGAGGTGAGGGCCAGAAAGAAGCTCCTTCATCTCTGCGCTCCTCTCAGGCGGGGGAAGAGAGCCTCTCGTGGAAACAGAAAGCCAAACAGGGCCATCGTAAGGCGCATCCAGGCAGGCAGGTTCTGTCTCCGACCCCTCATGAACTGCAAAGAAAAAAAGCACATGAGGTTGTTAGCATCAGGGATTTATCAGATAAAGACAATAACCACAACATGGTTTTGAGTTAGAGCCTTGTGACCTGTGGTAAACCTTGCGATATCAAATCAAATGACCAGGTAGAATTGATGTTTCCACAACATTAACTTGTGTCTAGCAAACATCTCTGTCTCACGCACATCCTGCAGTTTAATACACACAATACCAAGGGCAGCGGCTCAGTGATTTCCTGGTGACAGAAGTTAATTGTATTGCTTCATTTATTCGTTTGATGAGAGGATGAAAATGACCAGACTGTTAAAACAACCCTCAGGATCTGCCACTCATCTCCATAATATCAATCCCCCCTCCTCCCTGGGGTTTGAGACAGTCCCTCTTATTAAATGTCGCGCTGTTGACTTCTCAAACCTCAAAAGTGAAATGCTTTCAGAGAACGCACTGCCTATTTCATCACGGCTCTCTTGTAATAGCAGAAAGTCAGACGAATAATTATCAAAACAAAGCCAGAGGAAAATGAATCTGCTCCCTCCTATGGAGCTGCCTTTCTCTCAGCTCTGTCATTTTTTTTCTTTTGGGGGGCTACACTACAGATGAAGGGGCTCCTGCTGCAGCCTGCAATCTCCTCTCCCCCTCTCCTCATCTCTGATCCTGCACAGCAGCTCCCACTGGCTTTCTGAACAGCCGTGCTCACATATTGCAGCCTGTTGCATAAGCACTCCTGCTACCATATCTCTCTCTCTCTATCAAGGTCTCTACCAGCTTAGCAATCAGAGTCCGCCACAGGCTATTTGATGCAAAACTAGCAGCCTGCATTGAACTGAACGAGCACCGCTAAATGTAACCGTAATTGTCCTTAATTGCTCTTAATTCTACACTGCTGAGCTTATTTAAACACCACGTCGGTTTGTTCTTCTTTCTGCTGTCATTTGGGTGTGTAGTGGAGGATGGCGTGTACTTTGTTTGCCCTTTTTAGGCTAATTCCCTTCAAGCGATTAGGAATTCTGACACCATGTTGGCTCCTTCACTCAATGTAACTCCCTTACTCAATGTAACTCCTTTACTCAATGGATTATCTTTTCCCCCCTCAAATGTTCCTGCATTTTAAACCAAAAATACAATGTACTTCACATCTACAAGAATCCACATTTTAGCCCACACCAGCAACTTCTTCTCAGATAGGCAGTGAAAAAGTCTAACAATAGCACCAGACACAATACAGAAGAAGTGATTGGATATCATAAAGGATTTTTTTTTTAAATGTTCTCCCTTTGGAGTACAACAGCAGTATCCAATCCTGCAGGAGTGGAGTGCAGACAGCAGACAAAAAAGAAAACGTCTCTCTTATCTCTTTGTCACAGAGTTACAAACCAAAACACACACAAAGACACACACACCGAGGCAGGCAGCGAGACAACTGAGGTATTGTGGGTAGCCGTGAGTCAGACACTATTTTTAGACACCATATAAACAGACGGCCAAGTCTACCCAGACACAGACCTGCCGCTCACTCTTGTTCGTGATAGTCACATCGATCTCACTGGCTCTGTACAGTCATTGTCAAAACATCTCACCGTTTATCACTTTTATTCTTTCACCCACTTTCTTTCTCTTTGTTTACCCTCTCCTCCTCCATTAACCGCACAGTGAAGTGCTTTTCAAAACTTATCAACCACACCTTGTTATTGACGCAGACCCCCGTGGCAAAACAGTACAGCAGCAGATAAGGAACGCGATACCCCTCCCAGTATATTTGTACTCATTAACTCAAGTTCATAGTGTGGACTCTCAGTCAGGCCACTGAGTGCTTAACAAACACTGATACCGCTAACCCCCTGGACCTGTTATAAAACACACTTTGTTGCCACATCTAGATGTACAGAATGGATGTGGAACATGTTGTCAGCTGCATGTGAGTTGTATTTCTCGATATGCACAATTAACCACATATCGTGAACTACACAAGGTATGTGGTGCTGAGCTATTCCCTCGGGAGCTTGGCAAACAGTGAGCCTACACGCTCAATTACCTTCATCGTCTTCACAAGTCCCACATCGTTTCATGCTTCATGAGGTACGTATGTTCAGTATAAAGAAGTCTACTTTCAGGTAAAAGTACACAAGTAACAGACAGATGGTTGACGTCTTTTAAATTACACAGCGGAGACAAAGAGATGAAGGAAATCGGTCAGGAGTGGGCGGGTTCTCTTTGAAGACTAGAAAACATATTAATATTTATTTTGAGTGTAATGAAATAGTGCCAATGATGCAGTATGGGAAGTGTAGTCTTTAACATTCTGCTGAGATTTAGAAGACCAAATGACCTTGACCAAAGGGCCAATATTTCATTTAAAAAAAGGGTAAAAAACAATATATTCCTTTGACTGAATGATTTGGAGTTGTGTAGGTTTATTATCCTGTATGAAGTCACAAAACTGTGCTCTATTAGTGATTTAGGATTTTTCCTTCAGTGTGGCCAAGAAAGTGGTTGAATCACAGCACAGGCTATTTTTATCCAGTTGTGGTCAATTCGGCTGGCAAAATGTTCGGCCCTTTTTCCCCCAAAAGTGAACCACAAATTGGCACAAGGTTGTTTTGAGTTGTGTCTCTAATCAAGTAAATGCTGACACACACACTTTCTATCTTGTGTAAAAAAATCAGTTTGAGTCCTAGCAAACCAAATGTCTAACGATTGGCATTGTGATATGCATAAGGAGATGTTGAACAGGCAAACAGAGGCTATGTTAGTCCACTTGTGTTCACACTGTTTACACTTTGACACAGGTTCTTTAACATATTGTTTGAAGTAGTGAGATCATTTAAAGATCCACTTCACTGCGTGGGAGTGAGGCTTACCAGTTCAACGTGATCCTGGTGGAACTTGTCTCCGATCTCCCGAAGTTTACGACCAATTTGCGCCTCGACGCTCACCCCTGCCTGCTCCTCGGGCCTCTCTGCCATCCTGTCATCTTCCTCCCCTCTGCCCTCCTCCTCTTCAATTTGCCTCTCTCCCCGGTCCTCCATGGGCTCAAACTGAGCGGGGAAATGTGAGCGTAATCCAGCGTTGCCTAAAAGGAAAACATCAAGCTTCTTAAAACTTGTGTTGTTGGTGTTGCATCTCTAAAATAGCTGTTTTCAGTGTCAGAGCCAAGATGAATATAAGGTAAAGAGACATTACTGATTCTGTTTAGTTAAACCACTTATGTATGACTAAAAAGTGAAAAACCTCAGTCTGCAGACCGTCTTAAGAAGAGATCAAGTATCTAGATTAATAGTAATGGCTTCAAACACAACTGTGTGTGACAAAAACAGTATCTACTTAACACGGTTGCTGTATTGCTTTCTGAAACACAAACAGGTTTTATCAGATTTTCGCAGATGGGAAAATTACAAAGAGTCCACAAACAAGTGGAAGGGTTGGTAGGTGGGAAAGCGCAAACCACATTATTAAATCATCAGTGGCCCTAGTAAACTGCTACCTTTCCGTTGTGTCATTGAGTTTACTCATTGCCTCAAGCGTCCTTCTGCAGTCAGAGGGAAAACTATTTTTCTATGTTATCATATGTGCTGAATGCCCTGCTGTTCCTCCTCACAGAGGACTATAATGCCTCTTAGAAATGAGCAAGAAATGGAACCGGGCCAAGTGCATGACATCCATTACTGAGTAAATTACAATGGAAGACAAGGTAATAACAGTGTGTGGTGTTTATGTATTTCATGACTTTACTTTATGTACCTCTCACACAATGACACTGAGTCAACAAACAAACAATATTCTACTTCAACATGAGTTCAATTAAATTAGGGTGATGTCACACTGATTCGATTAGAGATGGGAATACTATATTGGATTAAAAGTGATGGACATATTAGTGTGGGTATGTGCCTTTATGTTAGCATGAAATTAGCGTTGTCTGTATTTAAAATACGTAAACAGAAACAGAGTGTCATGAGGTTAGCATCACATCAATATCTATCAGATCTAAATTGTTGGATAACATAACTACAAATCTACAGTGTTAACTGTTTCTTAGAATGCTGAGTTTTACAAGTTCTCAGCATGCGTATAATAGGACACGGGGATCTCCCTGCTGCAAGGAAAATACATTTCATAGGTTGTTCTAATTCTGGTTTTCAGTAATAATTTTAAATTGAATTCAGTTTCTCTAATAGCCTTAAATCAAAGAAAACCCCTGCCTCCAATTTTCATTCTATCCGACACTCCTAAAACCAGATTGACAGTTTTAATCACTTGGGTCTTTGAGGGCAGTTGTCAATGAGTAACCTGCCGTATAAAAGGATAAAAGGAATGACTAATAGTGTCAGATCTCACTAGAACATTAAACCCTTACACTCAGTTTCTAAAACCATAAGCCCACAACACTTTCCGCAGGCTCACATGATCTCGCCCCCTCCTTACCGTGAAAGGGTATGCGAGGCTGCCGAAGCATGCCGCAGGGCAGTGAGTTGATGCCGATGCTGTTGTTGTTGTGGCTGTTCGTCGTGACAGCAGCCATGGCCTGTCCAGCCGCAATCTGTGTAACACGTTCTTCGTATTTGACGTCCATAAAGGGGGTTCCCCAGAGCTGCGAGATAGGCCGTGACATGTCCTCCTCCTCATCATCCATCCGATGCCTCAGCGGTAAACTTCCTGAAGGGGCAAAAATGAGCACAAAGATGGAAACTTTAGAATGACATGACAAGTGTTTTTGAAAGTGTTTTTGTAGTGAAAATATTAGACACATTTGTTGGACTGTGTTTGACTTTATTATCTTTAGATCGCAGGTAAGTTGGGTGTGATTTGTTTCCAAACAAAACGTGCCAAATGTCATTGTGATATCAGTGAAAACGTTGCCCTCTGGCAGATAGAAAATGATCGCTCCCTGTCTACATTAAATGAAAAATAAATCCTGAGTCATTAATGCCCAGGCTAATGTTGTGTGTGGTGATACTGAAAACAAACAAGCAGAGATGAGTAACCTCAAGAGGCCCACAGATGGATCTGCCAATGTAAACACAAGATTAAGCTATCATCTCTTATTATATAGTGATGAGTAGCAACAGGAGCCAAACATATGGAAACACCCTGTGTAGGGGCACCCAGCAGGCAGATAAAAATGCCACGCCAAATCTGCCACACTCACGTAGCAGATTTTGCCAAGCTGTTGCTGCCAAATTGTAATTGAGAGCCAAAAGATCCACTGAAGAGGCAATTTCTGCCTCACAACTACCTTAATCTGTTCCACAGAGAGGAGTCACAGTCAGGAGATTAGCTTCCTCCAGCACAATTCTACAGCTCAACATTAATACCTATGCTTGTTGTCCCCTTTCTCTCTCTCAACCACATAATAACTGGATGGCTGCCTGTCCACACTTCTGTCTACACTATAAAACGCACGCACACACAGCAGCGGGTGGTGTGTCAGTGAAACCTCAGTGAAACCAAAGTCCTGGCTAGACTGTCATGTGCTGCGTGCAGCGGCCGCTTCATGAGGGAGATAACGAGTTTCACTCCATCCTCAACTGTAGCTGCTCAACGCAAAAACACTCGCACTCTCTTCCTCCTTGGCCACATGCCACAATCTGAACTAGTGTTTCATCTTTTTTTCCAAGGGTGTCTGTCTTTTCTTTTTGTTGTGTGAGTGGAGACAAATGGGCAGGGTTGACTGGCAAATGCAAAAGTTGAAACTGGATATACTGGAATAGTGTTTACTGAGCTTGGCAAAACCAGTAGTGTATCTATTTGTGAAAGTGTCCTTGTGCATTATGTCATATCATATGGAGTCAAAGGAGGAAACTACATCTCGAGCAACTGTGGAAAAACACTGTCTAATATCCAGGTATTATTATAGTGTAAGATGTCAGTCTCGGAGTCACTTTTTTGGTAAACAAAATAAATATTATAGAGCCACACATCCTCTGGCCTTGATTGTTCCCAGGGCATTTAAACAGTCCATCTTGTCACTGCACACTAATTATTTATGCATTACAGACATTAAAAACAGCCCATAATCTGCATGAACTTGTCCTCCAGGCAAATAAAGTAGTACTTGACATTATAAAAGCAGTAAGGGCTCTTCAACAGTACCACAAGTTTCACCGCCAACCAATGTGCACTTGTGTTGTGTGGCATTGACAGCCCTGTCTTGAATTTTCACTGGCAGTCAACAGAAGACTGGCAAGTATTATCATTGTGTCAGACACATAAAAACAAACAGAAAGACAGACACACAGAAAGACAACACACACACACACACACACACACACACACACACACACACACATACACATACACACACAAACCCCCACACACACAGTGCCTGGGGCAGAAGGGAGGCCTGGCAGCCACCACAGAGCTGGTCAGAGGCTCAAAGCTGGAGCAGAAAGTGGCTCCCTCTGCTGCACCATCTGTGCACCGGGTTCTCCATTCACCACTCAGGGTGGGGGTGCACTCAAGGTGAGCAGTGCTGATACTTACCCTACTGCCTAAATGTAACGAGTAATCCATATTCCGTGGATATCTTTGTGCTAGAGACGTCGTGAACACTACCTTAAACTATCACTGGAAAAATAAAGCCAATGTAATGGTTTAAAATAAATTCTGTTTGTTTATGTGTATGATGATATGTTGTTGTTGATACAGTTAAAATGCAACTTAGATGCAGAATAACTGCGGTTTTCATTCTTGTGTTGCAGTAGCAAATCGTTCATGAAGTTCGCTCCGGAGGACTACAGGGATTGTGCTGCATCTTTACCCGCATTAGAAGCACAATGCCCCGGGCAGCTCACAGCGGTAACACCGCTCATACAGATTTCCATACACATCTAGTGAAGAAACATTTCGAAACAGGATGCTGACACATGGTACCACTAACCACAGATTAAATTGTCAATATTCACTTTTTTTTTTCTCGTTAAAAAAAACATTTAACAGTTTAGCCTGATTCATGCCTATTTACAAAAAAAGTGTTAGAATAATGCTACTTGCATAGTTCCCATTATCGTCCGTTGACACTTTCTCTACCACTTCGCCTGACATCTCTACCACTAAACAAACACTCGTGAGCCGACAGTTTCACTCAGGCAAAGCAGATACTACTTTCTACTCAATACTCAGTAATGTTATAGTATGTAACAACTCTAATAAGCTGTAATTTTGTGTAATGTCAAAACACTACTGAGCAGCTGTTGTGTCTCAAACACCGGGAAACATCAGCCGGGACGTGGGGAATGCAAGCGCCGAGGTGATGGATAGAACAGGTCACATTGACATATTCGCTTCGTCCGTCAAAACAAGAGGAAAAAGCCTTGCTTGGTGTGAAGAACAGAGCATAAATGTATCTATAAATGCCCTTTTTCTGCAATTATGCCAACGCTTCTGTGAGTCCGCTCACACCGCGTCTCTGTCCGGGCATGCCCCGCACATTGTTGACAAAACTCCCGCAAACAACGAAGAACTACGGGACGGAGGATTTCTCTCTTTAAATTTGAATTCATGTTCACTCACCGCCAGCAAAAGCGCGTTCCGTTGTGATCGGTGGTATCTTGACAACTTGCCGCTACCTTGTTTCCTACGGACTGTGTTGATGTGACTTGTATCCCTCTTTGCATTACAGCTACTCATACATGTTTGCTGACTAGAGCGGGTTGTTTTTTTGGCCGTGTTAAAGCAGCAGTCCGCCCCGATGACAGGGAACCGCCCCTTCTTAAAAATGTGAAAGGAACAGAGTCAGCTACAGTGTTATGCAAATACAAGCCACACTGAAAGGATATTAAAAGCTGTTATTGCTTTTACAATTCATTTACATTTCTATTTCAGCAATTGATCATGCATTTCTAACGAACATGTAGTAATGCCGTTTTAGGCAAATGTTTGCATTTAAAATTGTACTTTAGTATCAAAATAAGAGCATTCAATGTAGACACCATGTGTTATTACTATGTTTTTTCAGTTAGAATTGTATGTGTGCATTACATAACATTTGACTATAATAGTTGATCCCTGTTGCACTAATATCAAACATTGTAAGCGACTGCATTTTCGTGTATTTATTTCAATTAAAGCACATCTTGTGTTTTTATTATGCAAATTATTTTGTAGTAGTCAAACTATCCCTGTAAAAGTATTATTTATCAAAGGAAGAAGGTTACTCAAGTAAAGCATCCTCAGATGTGTGCTTCTAAAAATGTACGTTTACCAAGCCACAGCCCCCAGCAATGCAAATGGGTTGATGCCATATTTTGCCAAATGAATCAATATCTTTAAATGTGGGTGTTTGTGCCTGATTAAGTGTAGCATTTAAAATAAAAGTATTAAATGCTTATACTGATTTAAATTGGTCTCTGCTGCATAAGATGTCGAGCTCATGCTGTATTGTTGTTGAGGTGAAAAAAAACATTGTGCCTGGCCCTTTAAGAGAACAGTCCTCCTCGCGACCATAAGCTGGTGACACGGAGCGGACCAATCAGATGGTTTGTTTTGGTCCCGCCTTCTGCTTCGTGTATCTTGACACGTGGAGGGGGAAAAACACAAACCCAGATAAGGCATGTGACTGCTTTCAGCGCTCTGCTCAGCTGATTGGGAGCTGCTGCTGGATAGAGTGATTGCACCCACCCAATTACTGCTGGGGCGATGTGTGACGAGTTGTGTACTGTCAAGGCAACAAATACAGTCACACAATGAATTGTCACACCTGCATTTCAGTGTCCCATTATGCAGCACGACATTCTGTTCTACATCTAAACCTGTGAAATGCATACATTATTAGTGACATGTTACTAACTACATTTATTCAAGTGACGTACTATGTTAAAGTAAATGAATTGACATTTTTAACCATAGATTATCATATAGAATATGAGGCATTGATACATATGTCAATATGTTATACCGCTGCATCTATACATTACATAGGCCATTGTATACAAATGATTAAATACACTTATTTTACTTTGTATGCATTTTGCAGAAATAACCACTCCACTTGTATATATGTTGAGTTTAAATGCATGTCATAATGTTATTAATTGGAGATTGTGTCTTATTTCTGCCTAATTTAATAATCTGAGTTGTTGATCCACTCCTGGACATACCATAAAATAATAAAGTTGTAGGACTCAAATGTCCTTAAATGCTCCCTGGTTTAGTACCGGCTTTGCAACAATGTTTTGATCTAAGCATATCCATTTTCAGTTCAGCCCCTGAGGGCAGCCATTGTTGAACATAGATTCTGATGGATGCACAGTGACATTGGAATAAACAGCAGCCGTGGCTGGTGATGCCCCTTCATTGAAGCCAGGGGCACGCCTACCCATGGCATTACTCGAGTCAAATAGGAAGAAAAACAGTACAGTGAAAGCAAGCCTTATCTGCAGAGCAGGTCACTGAGTGCAAGAAAGCCAGGCAAGGAGAGTGAAACTATCTGATCCATCGTGTGACTAAGATCTTTCCCAGGAGACAATTTCTGGATGAAAGCAGATGCTGTTGCTTTTGCGTGGCGTGTTGGTCGGCCCATGGAGGATGTTATGTTTTCACACTGTCCCGCTCCTTTATTGTGCAGCTGGTAATGTGTGAAGTGTGATTCTCAACTTTTGACAACATTCCCATGCACAGTTTACTGGCAGACCAGCAAACAACCCCTGCTCAGCCTTGTTTAAGCTGCCCAACCCCCCATCCACACCAACCCCCTTCAATTTAAATCCTGCAGCGAGAGGGACCCCACCCAAAATGTGGAGGCAGAGATCAGATGGCGGTTGTTTTTCTGAACATTTAAGCATTGTATTTATAGAAATGATCAAAAACAACACACATTTTAGTTATTTTTGCTAAATCTCCCTAACCCTCACTTTAGTTTTTAAACTAATTATGGAAAATTAGATCAACTGACGCATTGCTAATATAATTATTGCTACCTCTGAAACCAACATTTTAACCTTCTATTGAAACTGATAGTGTGTTTGTATTCATAGCTGGGGGAAAACTAAGAAATGTCTCATGTTGCCATCAAATATTAAACTTTCTTTCTGGTGATATATTTGTAATTTGAAGGACACAGACATGCTATGTGAATAATAAGTAATTAATTCTGCCTCTTTTAAGCTTTTTTTTAAAGAATAAAAAGATGACTGGAGCTGTTTGAAAAAAGTCAGAGAAATTAAAAAGTTAAAAACATCAGTTGATGTTGTATTCAGTCATTTAAATTCTACTTTCAAAGGTGGAACATTTTGAAAATTAATTAGTGCGCTGTGTGCTGCATTTGGAAAACAGTGGTGAAAAAAACAAATCGCCCACAAGCATTTCATTGCTTTTTTTCCCTCCCCTGAGTTCCCTTTATCAATAACTAATTAATGTTTCCAAACAATAGCTCCAGGAATAGTGCGTTTCAATCACAGTCAGTTACCCTATTGTCAATGGACTCTGGGGTATACAGTAGTTTTTCATCAGTTAAACTGCAGTTTGGTGAAGTCTTGTTGTCTCTTTGAACACTGAGCTGTTAACCACATTTGTGTTGCAAATCAGATTTTTTTCCTCTGTTTTGGCAGAGAACATAACATGATGCGCTGTCAATGCAAGAGATTCAGAAACACAAACGTCACACATTGTGCAATCTCATCTACTGTTTTAAGTCATTTGCATTCTTTTACTTTCAAGCGTGTGGCTTCAACCTCTTTGAAGAGGGAAAACAGTCTTTGTGCTGGCGCTGAACTCAGAACTTGTCATCTAAACTGAAACTTCCAGTACCTCTAATGTGTCAGGTGCAGCGGCAGACAATGTGTCCCAGCCCATTTTTATTCGAGCAATTTCCCCAGTGAGGCAGTCAAAAATTATCCTCAGTGAGTTATTTCTGACTGCGCGCTGCCAGCAGAGGTGATAAGGCTCTGGATGTTGAAATACTTCAAGTTCACTGCATAATGATACAATTTGCTTCGTGTCTTTTTCCCTAATGGTGCCTGACGTCCAGACACTTTGTCTTCAATCTTCAATCCGTTCCACTCCCAAACAACTCCATCAGTGTTTGTACTTGTACTCCATGCACTTCCGAATCACAATTTTATGGTTTCATTCCCGCTGCCATTTAATTATCTACCTAAATCCCTATTTTCGGGGGCTGTTTTGTCACATAAATTGATTGTGAAAATACGTGACAGAGATGCCAAGTTTTCACAGGTTATTGGAAACCACTGTCCTCCTCCTCCTACCCCTCCTCTTTCTGTCTTTTCTGTCAACACCTCTTGATTTTAACCACAGGTACAGCAGGGGCTCAGCCAATGAACATGGCTCCCCCAGAGTTCATCCAAAGGTAACTCATTTGAAGCCCATACCACCCGACGGAAAGCTTCCTCACCATGATGCGTATTTTGACACCACTTTAAACAATATAGTAATAATAGTGGGCATGTTTTGGATGAGGTGCTGTATGGAAATACATGTGTTGCATTGTGTCTTTCAGTTTGTCTCATGTTCCAAGCTGCGATGGCGAGTTGACGTAAATGAGCGCTTAATGATTACTGAGCGGCAGCATCAGCTCAGGAGGTAAACAAACCATTTGTCAGGCATACTGGCAGCCTGGTGACACCTGCCCAACAACTAAAACAGCTCCTTGATCATATTTTCCAGGTGTCCTTGCTTTTTTGTATAGCCATATTTTATCATTTTTACCTCACAGTTAAATATTACTTGCCGATTTTATTCGTTTATATCCAAAGTGGTTTTACTTTTGCAGATAGATCATTAAACAACATTTGTGAGTCAAGGGCAACCACATTTATTTTGTGTTGATTTTAAACACTAGACCAACAGGGTGCAACACGTTATTTGTTAAATCTGATTGATTTACTACTATGTATTATGAATAAGACTACTAGAATTCTTCACCATTTCTGCTCATCATACTTGCTCTGAGGCACGTTTAGGGTTGCCTTGCTGTTAAAAGGTGACCAGACAAAAGAGTTGTTTTAATTACCAGTGCCAAAGTGCATTTGAACAAACAACCAGACTACAAATCAGTTCCCCTGTGCGGAAACATGCAACTTTGGGAATTCAAAGCATCATTTGGGGTTCATTAAATCTATTGAATAATGAACTCTCGATCCGAAAAGTAAGACTGAATGTTTTTTAAAATGTACATTTGTTGTGATCTATCAATGTGCAAAGCTGAACCAGAAAGGCTCAGAGTTAGACGTACTTCAGGGCGTGGCTGCCTTGAGCGACAGATGGATGGTGTCAACGGTCGCTAGAAGCTAACTGTTTGCTCTGCTGCGCCACCCAGGCCAGCCTATGCACCACAATTGCCCATTTAAGGTTTACTGTGAGTTAGCTAGAGTCAGCACTGCCACGATTATGATGGGCATAGCCACAAACAAGTGCATATTTTATAAACTCTATGACTCAACTCCAAGTTGCTCCCAATGAGAAGGTCACCATCAGGAGTATGATTCTGTGTGAATTGGTTAATGAAACGTAAATTGTAAAGTGCTTTGTCCGGTGAGGTAGAAAGTGGCTATAATAATACAGTCCTTTAACCATAGGCATGTATTGAGTTTGACTTCCAAGTATTACGGTCTTTCCAAATGTCAACAATCAACTAGATGAGTGCAATATTGTTCATACGAATAACAATAATGGCCCAAACTATGAAAGACACAAGTTAAACCAG